ACGGTCCGCGTCGGTTCCGGGTAGTACATTTTTGACATTTCTCGGTTCTGCACGGGCCCGGGTCCAACTTTCAAAATAATAGACGGGTCCGGGTCGGTTCAGTGTAGCACATTTACGGGTCTCTTCGGGTTCGGGTACGAATTTTTGGACCCGTGTAGACCTAGTTCAAACCTTTGTCACTTTTTTCACTCCTGATGAATTTGTATCCTTCCATGCACAAGCTAGTAATGGGCTTTTGGTCATTGACTTGCAGAAAGATTTCTGCGCGAGTTAGTGTTAGAGGCTACTAGAATACAGGGGGGCGCCGACACTGATCTTGCATACCCCTCGGCAAATGTGCAGTTGCGCCCCTGCCTATAGGCTAAGCGCCATTCACACAGAATGCGCTTTTGTGTTGACAAAGATGCGACGCGGGCAGTGGAATAGGTAAAACATGCAAGAAGATGGGAGTGAACTTATTTTAACTTGAGCGCAGTGTTTTTAGAAAGCCGTTTCATGCATGAGACGCTGCAAGTGACGCGAGCGCAACAGTCAAACACATCCACGTTTACACTGAAAAAACAATGGAAAAGCAGCGCAATCGAATAAAAAACCTTTAAAGAACTACTACAGTATGTCTGATATTTAATGTTTGCATCATGGTGACAGGCTGAAAGATGCCGTTGTTTTTAAAGAACATTTATAGTTAATAAAAGTCTACTGGTGTTATAACTTTAGTCAATTTATGAATCAGAAAGAGCTTTATTGCCAAGCATGCAAGGAATTTACACACAAGGAATTTGTTTTAGTGACATAAGCTTCCAGTACACAGAGACAACAACAACACACAGACAATAAAAAATAAGATGAGCATAAAAAGAATACACATGTAAATATAAATAGACAAATATTGAAAAATAAATCGAAAAATAAATAAATTGTATGTACAGTTGTGCTGGGATGGAGGTGGTAACAAATAAATATAAGGTTATTGCACATTTTTATTGCATAATGTGGGGAACATTTAATTGTTCATGAGGTAGATTGCCTGGGGGAGGAAACTGTTCTTGTGCCTGGCTGTCCTGGTATTTGCGGCTCTGAAGCGCCGGCCAGATGGCAAAAGTTCAAAAAGGGGATAACTTGGATGTGAGGGATCCAGAGTGATTTTCTGAGCCCATTTCCTCACTCTGGATGTATACAGTTCTTGAAGGGTGGGCAGGGGAGCACCAATAATCCTTTCAGCAGTCCAAACCGTTCTCTGTAGTCTTCTGATGTCTGATTTTGTAGCTGAACCAAACCAGACAGTTATTGAAGTGCAGAGGACAGACTCAATGACGGCTAAGTCAAACTGTTTCAGCAGCTCCTTGACTTTTGAGATTTTCTAAAATAATTTTCCTCGTATTATTTCTGAACAGATAATATGTATGACAAGTTTGTACAATATGTAGTTGTAGTTTTTGCATCTTTTCTGCAAAGATATTTAACAAGTGATTTGTTTAACATTTACATCATGTTGACAAATTCATGTGTGCTGCACTTGGAATAGAATTTTCTTTAAAGGGTTAGTTCACCCAAAAATGAAAATTAGCCCACAAA